CAAGGATCAATGAGTGAGGGTTCAAATCTTGAAGAATGACAAACGTAATAATTAATGTAATTTTAAAGAGGTCATTCCATTAATATTTTGCTATCATCGTAAGGTCTCTTTATAGAGGTTTGAATTAATCTGGAGTGGATAATAAACACAGAATATTTCAAGACGTCGAATGGTTCATATCAAAAATAAAAAAAAGACCAAGTGTCAGGCTTCCTGTGTGGGGTAACCAATCATGCAGTAATTTGGGGGTGTCTCCCGTGTCTTTCTGTCTGGAGGTGGCAATTAACAGAGAGTGTCAGGAGGGTCAACCATTTTGATGAAATAAACGAGGTGGCAGGCAGTGATTGGGCTATGAATTCGCAAGGCCTCCACGGACAATAATAACATTACTTGTAGTAAAGAAAGACACCATGATTGTCCATAGTCCAAGTTCTCTACTTTCACATGCTCCTAAGAAAGAAAGAAAGAAAGAAAGGAGATAAAGAAGAGCCCTTTGATTGATAATTAAAAGGATGGATATGTAGAAGCTCCCTAATGATTGTGACCCCATTCACCTTCGCTTTGTAACCACCTTTTTTATTTGTGGGTACGCGTCGGAGACAGACAACCATCATCTTTCTCCTTCCCCCTGTCTTTTCCTTTGGATCCAATGACCTCCTCACTGAATCCTAAGCCACTTCCCTTCCCCAACTCCTAAGCATCCTCATTCACCATTTAATCAGAATACACATGACCAAACCAAATTATTCGGCCCCATAGTTTGTTAACCACCACGTTATTGACTTTGTCCCTCTAATAATTTTAACCTCTTTTGCAAGTCAAATAATGCTCATGCAAATATTGTCCCAAAAGGTTGTGAGCGTTGGATCAGACTATTCCACTCACTCTGCATTCTTTTTAAAACTCTTTGTACTCAGTCTTTATTGGCGGTGACGAAGACAAATTCGTATATGAATAGCAAAATGAGCATGGAATCGGTATAGACGCGTGCACATGTGATCGTCCTTGTCATGTCCTTTTGACTTGCCTCTTTTCTTCCCCCTGCTGCAGGATAAGATCATTGCTACTATAGCCCCCCTTTTGTTTCAGTGTTGTCGTAGTCTCTCCGTCATCGTCCGCAACTGGAATTAAAAAAAAAAATAAAGTATACAACTATTTTCACCCTCAATCGGCGCCATATTATATGAGATGACCCCAAAATAACACGATGATCAGAAGAACTGGTTTTCCGTTTACAATAAAGTTACCTTTTTTTCCTCTGGAGACGAGAGAGGCTCTTACATACCAGGAGACTCTAGCTAGTTTCTTTGCGTAAAATTTAACAGCGACAACACACAAACTCTTTTGGCTGTATAGATGGGGAATCTAAACAAGCATCATGTTGTTGTAGGGAGGTGAAATAATTGACGTAGGCATAGATGTAGTGTATGAGGAGCAGAGAATAATTTATGCTGTGGGCATTGAATATGTGGGTGATGCGACCGAGAGATGCCCTTTGATTAAGGAAAAATGGCACCTTGTCTCTCCTAGCCCTATTAAATATGTACGTCTTCAAAGACCATGTTTGCACACAAGGCCACTAACTGGGCCCTTGTAATCTAATCCCCTTCAACGAAATAATCTTCTCAATTAATTCACCATTAATTTTGCTCTTCTGTTGTCTTGTGCTCTGCATTGACGTTTATAGCGTCTTCCTAAATACTAATGTTCTCGTAAGGAAACATATGTCGGTGATATTGTCGTCGTTGTTCTCGCTCGTGTAAATTTCCTTCCCATCTAAAAGCATACGCATTAATATGAATTGGGTACTTCTAATTTTTTTCTCGTGCATAAAAGTTTCATGAAATTTGAGTACGCCTCGGTCCTATTGAATTGCAGCATCCACGAATTTTTACTGCAATTGGCTGCTTGTAAATTGTAGTGACTATACTTTTTTAAACAAAAGTCAGAGTTTAACTCTAGCCTGTCAATGGACGGTAGACTAATCGGTGAAGAATCCATCCATACCAAGCAAAACATGTTATCTTGTTGTGGATATAGATATTATAAAAAGCTTCTTAAGACACAAAACTTACACCAAATAGGGATCAGTTCAGACTTAATTCACCTAAACTTAAAAAAAAATAATAATAATAGTAATGGTTTTGACAAACGAAGTCAGTTCTTTGGAGGCGTGGAAACAGAACCTAGTGAGGAAGTCAGGGAGTCAGGGCTTCCCCCTTGGAAGAAAACAAGGGACGTTTGTCAGTTTGAAAAACACAGGTGGAGCATCCCACAACACAACAAAAAACCTGCCAAATGCTTCCATTTTAAATACAGAATTTGTCCCCTTTCTCGTTTTCAACGCGCACACACACACGATATCCACTTTTCAATTCTTATAATGAAGCAACACGCGCAGAACCCCTTCCACTAGGGCTGTGCAAAAGTCTCCCAGTCCTGTCTGGTCCAGTCCAACCCGAGATGGTCTCAGTCTTGTTCGGTCTGTATAGTCACTGGTCCTTCAGGACCAAAAGGACTAAAAAGACCAGACTATTTTTTCGGGTTGGACTGGACAAGAGACCAAGCATCCGGACCACTTGGTCCAGTCCAGTCCTATTAATTTTTTTTATTATAATTATAATTAATTTATTTTTGACAAATGTTTAAAGTGTAATTGATGCTAAGGAGATGATTGCATAAAGATTTATTAAGTTTGTTTCTAAATTGTTATTGTAATATAGTGTTGTTGAATTTTTTGAGTACTGTTTTTATTAAAGTTTATAAATTTAAATAATTTAGACTATAACAAAAATATTTTTTTTCTTATTGTTAGAAATTATTATGAATTTATTATTATTATAAGTATTTTTACTATCTTAATTGAGTTTATTATGTTGGAATGGATTATTGTCTCTCATAGAATAAAAAGAGGGAAAAAAAGCTAAGTGAGTACTGGACTGACAGGACCAGTCTCCCAGTCCTATGAACCAAGTCCGGTCCTGTTAATCTTCGGGTTATCACTGGACAAGACTGGACTACGGGTTGCCTAACCCAGTCTTTTTCATGAAAGAGACCGGACTTCGGGTTAGGGTGAAGTCCAGTGCCGTCCAGTCCTTTGTGCAGCCCTACCTTCCACCTTATATTTTACTTCCTCCACTTTTATATGTAACAGAAAAAAAATTATATCACACACTTAAAAAAAAATTAATTAATTATAATAATTATGTCTGAAAAATTATATCACACACTCAAAAATAATTAATTAATTATAATAATTATGTCTGAAAATAAAAAATAAAATTAAAGTACTTTATATTAATTAATCTGAACATACATTAATTATTTATTGTTAATGTAAATTATAGAGGGCAATTTAAAAAAATATGTAATAAATATTTATTAAAATATATAATTTTACTTGTACTAAAAAATAAATAAAAAGTAATAATTATTTTTATAAATAAAAATATAGTACAATGTAATTAATATTAAGACTGACGACGCCGCGAGTGTTTACCTCCAATTGCAGCAGCCACGCACGCACCCAGATTTTGCTCAGACTGTCCGCTTTTCTATAATTATAATCACTCAATTTGTTACTTCATTTATTCCTAACCGCATTAGTTTCAACCTTAAAAGCGTGTCTCCCAAGTTTCAAAATAACACATCTGATCCATCTTTGACTATATATATATATATATATATTATTATTATTATAAATTGCTGTGTAGTTAAAATTCCACATTATGTTTTCTTTTACGTGTGTTATTTGTTAATTCACACCCTTTGGACTTTGATCCATGATATAGGACAATTTTTAGAAATTTTGCCCAACCCAAAATACAGCACGATGTGTCATGTTTATGACTTTTACAGATGATTTCCTTCATCTCTCTATCTATTATTATCACTGTTCCTTGTAATTAAGGATGCGTATTTTAAAGGAGTCAACTATTTAAAGCTAGGCCTTACATCACCCGAGGAAAAATGAGGAATGTATAAAACCATCCAGGAGATTGGGATTTTAATTATTAATTTTTTAGAATAGCAAGGTAATTAATGTTGTCTTGTATTGTGGACTATAAACAACGTATTAGATGTGTAATTAGTTCATATGGTAATAATATTAATACATTCAAAATATCTAAATCCATCTGACAACTGCTTAATTGATCCAATTGAGAGTTTTATTAGTAATAACTAATAATCTGGAATTTAAATACTAAACAGCTACATTAAATATTCATTGTTAAATTTTTGTCTCCCTTTGTTTCCTCTTGACTCAACTAAATTAATGGGAATTCCATTCAACTTTTAAAAATCATTTTAAAAGTTACAATGGCGTAATAATAATCAATATATTAATATATAGAGTATATACAACACATGAAAAGTTTATTATCAATAAAACTCGATCATTTTATTATTATTCAGTAGCATTTATTACAGAGATAAAATATTTTTAATGATATATCTTTGGCTAATTCCATCCGTTTTTTGGGTTAAAATTAAAATTAAAATTAAAATATTACTTTACTCCCTCTATTTTTATTTATAAAAAAATTATTATTTTAGTTTTTTTTATATAATCAAAATTATATTTTTAATAAGAATTTATTGTAAAGTTTTTAAGTTATCCCGAATAATTTTATTATTTATAATTATAATAAATAATTAATGAAGGTTCGATTAATATAATTAATAATTAATAAATTGTATTGTAATTTAATTTTTATTTTTAAACATAATTAATATTATTATTTTTTTAAATTATGTGATATATATATATATATATATATTTTTATAAATTAAAACAGAGGGAGTATTATTTAACAAGTGGAGGCAGCCGGCGGGGAGGGGTGGGGGACAATAGGAGGAAGGAGAGGCACGTAAAACCCAAACCCCTGAGAAGACGCAGGTGGAATCCTGGGAAGTTGACACGTGGAAGGGAGGTTGGACGGAGTTTGCCCGCGCACCGGGGCGAGGTCCGGGCGTCCGTATGTCGGCATTTTTGAAAGTTCAAAAATAAGCCCCACCCGCACCCCTTTTTACCACTCCCCCCATTCTCTCTCTCCCACTTCCCTCTCTTGACGCCAATAACGGACCTCCATTAATGCCCGCCTCTCCCTTGCTCTCTCTCTCCTTCTTTCTCAGTATCATCAGCTGCTTGCTCTCACTTCCCCTCTCTTTCTCTCCCTCTGTGGAAGTGAAATCAATGATGTCGCACATTTTAAGATCTGCATTTTTTGTTTTCCCCTTTTTTGCTTCTCTTTCTCACTTTGCTTGCTCTTGTCACGCATTTTTGAATTAGCTGAGAATCCTAGGGTTTTTCTTCCCTCCCGTGATCTTCTCTCAACCCTCCTCTCTCTTCCTTTCCGCTTCCTTTCCTCTATTATCGATCTCGCTGCCTCCAATTCAGGCATCTTTCATGACTGGTACTGGTTATGGAGAAGTTTCGCCACAAGAGATCCAACGTTCCTACCTCTGCTGATCGCTCCTCCCAACCCCATCCTGCTCTCTCTGAAGGTTTCATTCGCTTTCTCCTTTTCTTTTTCGTTTTTCTTTTTCATCCCTCTTTCCGCCTGGTTTCTCAGTGATGGAGTCGAAGCTGGTTCACCTGGAGAGTTTCTGACTTTCTTGGTCATGAAACGGTTTAAAACTTAACTTCGACTTCTTGCTTGAGCTGTCCAGTACAGCATTTTTATACACTTAGAAACAGACACTTTCTAATTCTCAGTGTGAACCTTAGGTGGTTGAAGTCTTCGTCTGGCTTGTATGTTTACTTCAATTAGGCTTGTGAACTGCTTCTTAACTTTTTACTTGGTGCTATCGGTATAATTTTGTTTGGGTTAACAATAAATTTCAGAAATCATGATGTTATATAATTACAATACCTCATTATGGATCGTTTCTAAAAAGCACTTTGTGTCAATCAGTTGTATTCAAAGGAATTTTTTTCCTTAATTCACGCGTAAATGTGAGCATCACGATTTCTTGCCGCTTCTCTTTCAACTGCTTTTACCAGATACTGTAATAAGTAACCCTTATTGAGACCTTTGTCATTGTTTCCTGGCCAGGGTTTTAGTAATTTTAAGTGCATTATTGTCGCTATTTCTAATGCTAATTAAAGCCTTCCTCATTTCTGCTCTTGAATATTCAACCTAATAATGTAGTAAAATTCATTTCCAGGAAACAAGGGGGTTCAGAGACGGAGAAAACATCCTAATTTGCTCCCCGATTCCAGCCCTTCCGCTAGTGTTGTCGCATCTGAAAATTCGGTGAGCCGGTTTTTTCTTTTGTCTCTGGTAGCCTCTCTCCATTAATGCATGATCTGCTTCTTTGCATTTATGAATGAAGAAAAAACTCTCTTCAAGTTGAATGTTTATTGTATTCACACTTGGATTTTTTTTTTTTAAATTATCTTTATGAGATTATCTGTTATTTCAAAAGAAATGAAAAGGAATTAATAGATTGGCAGCAATGAACTCATGCATTTTCCACCTTTATTTTGCAGTCGTCATTTAAATTCGGGTGGAGATCTTCAAAACAACTGCTTGGTACTCCCATAAAGAAGTTACTAGCTGAAGAGATGTCGGGAGAAACTGAGTCCAAAAGAAGAGCTCCTAGTGTTATTGCCAGATTGATGGGTCTTGATGGGATGCCCTTGCAACAATCTGCTAATAAGCAACATAAAAGTTCCTCTGAAGTCCATCTGCAGAGAAGACAACAGTTGGAGATAACTCATAGTGGTCGATCATCCAGGAGAAGCTCAGGGGATCAGCAAGAATTTAAAGATGTCTTCGAGGTCTCAGAGATCCCAAAGGCAGAGAGCTGTAGGTATCCGTCCCAGGGTGCTGACTTGATTGCAACTGATGCTGAAATATCATTCATTGAACAGAAGTTCATGGACGCCAAACGTCTGGCAACTGACAGGGATTCACTCTCTTCAAAGGAATTTGATGATGCACTTGAGGTTCTGGATTCCAACACAGATCTTCTACTAAAATATTTTCAGCGGCCAGATTCTTTATTTAAAAAGCATCTAAATGATCTGCAATCTGCTCCACTTCAATCACATTGTAAATACATAGAAGCTATGAGATCAACAAATATGGAGAAGTATGGAACAGCATCATGACTTCAGCTGGAGGTCAGCTCGGGACGCAACCAGGTTGAATTGCAGTGGATCTCATCAGAAGCATCTTGATGGTTATCCTGCACAATTTGACAGAAGGCATGCTGTCCATAGTTCACCAAAATCACCAAAGCTTAGTTGAGTGGAAAAGACAAACAAGATGCAATCCCCACAAGGATTGTTGTCCTAAAACCCAATATTGGAAAGGTACAGAATGCTACAAAATTCATTTCATCATCTTGTTCTTCACATGCTTTCTTATCAGAGAGTGGAAAGAGTGCTGCATATCCAGATGTCAGAAATAGGGGCCTTGAATTCAGTGAGAGAAATCTTCCTGGTACTGTCGGGTTTTCAAGGCAAAATTCAATGGAATCTAGGAAATTGCGAAGGAAATCACTAGGCGAATGAAATGTAGTATACACAATGGATCTACAATTTTTTCGTCTTCTAGAATTAGAGGATATGCTGGGGATGATAGTTCTTATGACTTCTCTGAAAATGAATCTGTAGAGGAATCAGAGATAACATCGGCAACCTTGGCAAACTCTGTAGACTTAAGTAATCATAGCAGGCCATCATCCCGTTCAAGTGAATCATCTGTTTGTAGAGAGGCAAAGAAGAGATTATCAGAGAGGTGGAAAATGACGCACAAGTCTCAACAGGGGCAAGCCATCAACAGGGGCAGCACACTGGCTGAAATGCTTGCTATAACTGATAAGGAAATGAATGCAGCAAATTTTAAGATTACGTCTTCTGGGGGAGGTTACCATAATAAGTTTGCTACTAAGAGCACACCTGCTGGGTCGGTTGAACCTTTGGGTATCAGTAGTAAGGATGGTTGGAAGGATGGGTATATGGGAAGTCTGTCAAGATCAAGATCTCTTCCTGCTTCATCCGCAGGATTTGGAAGTCCTAGGACACTTCATGCTGATCGATTTATTATGCCAAAGGAAGCCCTTAAGCGGGAAAGAAGAAAAGCTGCAAAGAGTTTTTATCAGCAGCAAGGTTTGAATACCAGAAACTTAAAATCTGGTCACAAGAAGTCCTGGTCTTCTCATTGTACAAATATGGAAATTTATGATTCTTCACCAGACATGAACACAATCCAAGATAAAGTGAATGCCAAGCCTGAAGAAGATCCACCCAAGATAGAAGTTCCATCATCTGGTTCATTAACTGAGATCCTCAGAGATACAAGTGTGATTACTGAAGATGTGGTGGATGCAGCACCAAAAGCCCAGCTGGGTCTTCTAAATCTCCTGATCCAGACCTTCGAGAATTACCTTCTGGTATATCAACCAGTGGCAGCCCTAGTGCTGTTGAAGGAGACAGTTTACTGCAGCAGGTTAAGTTTTTTGGATTTCCAGTTGATATGCATACATTTGGGTTCTTTTTCCTTAACTTTGTGTTTTGGTGGGATGTTGCTTCTCTCTACTGTCTGTTCCATTGTTACTAACAAAGTAGTCCAAGGTGAAAGTCACCCTTAAGACACCAGATCTCTATCTTATCTTAGGTGAGAGGCGCTAGAAAGATGCATGTTTAATTGAAGCAAGGTGGTTAAAGTGAGAAAGATATGCAAATTTGGAATAAATTTTGACTTAACCATTCAAGCATGTTCAAGTCTCTAGACATAGTAATCTTCAAAGCACTAATTAAGTCAAGTGCATCACTACTCAATCGCAATAAACATCAATTCATAACTCATAATAATATCAAGTGCACTTCTAAAGTGTTATCAAGTCAGACGTCAAAGTTAACTAATTAATGTTACTCAAAAAATATGCCTGTGGTCCTATGTGACTGTTTTGTAAACTATGAAAAACTAATAATCTAATGATATTTTAAAATAGGAATAACTATTTTAACTTATTTTCAAATCTCTAGGGCTGAGTTGGGCTTTTAAGCTTGGGTTTTGTATTTTCCTATTTTATCCTATTACTGCTTTAATATTGCCTCTTCTCGGCACCTAGCGCACCTAAGGCAAGCACCTCTGACTACCATGGTCACTCTTTTCATATTCTTTTCTCCTCCCGCCTATCTATCATATTTGGTCATTTGCAGACTATTTTTTCAAATGTGCATGGTGCTAAAAGGAATTGTATCAAGTCTTAAAACCTATGTTCTTTTTCTAAAATCTAAGGACACCAAGCTCATCTTGTCTTTGCCGCTCTACTTTGTTCCCAAACTTCGCTTAGTTCTTTCATTGTTGTGCATTCTATTTTTAAGCCTGCGTTTTATGTTTCCTGCTTCTCACATGTACGTTGTATACTTCAGGAGCCGTCAGTTGGTTCTTCCAGTGGAAGTTCGGTCTCCTCTCAACCAATTGTACCAGGACTCGAATCTTCATGCTGTAAAGAGGCTGATCAACCAAGTCCAGTTTCTGTCCTGGAGCCTTCATTTACAGATGATCTATCATCTTGTTCTGAATGCTTTGAAAGTCTTAGCGCTGACCTCCAAGGTAACTGAATCAGACTTTTGTGTTGATTATTTACAATGTAGTGTTTAATCACCACCCCTCCTTTTGTCTTCTTTAGTTCTTCCATCATTGGTACGTGATGTGCTTACTCAATTGTTGTGGTTATGTTAGGACTTAAAATCCCTAGTAATTACAGAATTAGTTAACTATCATTGTGCAACATGAATAACTTTCTTGTCTTATTTTCAAGGGAAAAAATATTAAATGCAGCTGTTTGATTCCATGACAAATTGAACAATATTTACTGTTATTTGATCCTTGTGGCTTACTCATCTATTTGACAATATTATCTTCTCATCCATTTGAATTGTATGTGGTGGATGAAATGAACAATCATTATTGCAGTTGCACGGATTCTATGAGCAAATATGAAAGACCTTGATAACTGTGATCCACGCATAATAATAGTTCCTTATTAGTTTTCAGTGACTTCATTACTTCTCAATATTAATGTAAAACTAGTTGTTACTTGAAGGGCATCCTTTTAATTTGTAGTTGAAAATATTCATCTGAGCTATTACTTCTTTGTCGTGTCATTAATAAATTATCTAATATCTAATTTAATCTTCGTTAGGATATTGTGAAACAATTTCAAAACTGATGTTCGCTAATAGCTTGCTAAATTTTGCCAGAACTGCCTTTGTTACCATATTTACAATCTCTTGCTTATCATGTGATCTTTGGGATTTGAATTGAATTATCTGTTTTATTGGTAAGATCACGAGTCACTAGTACAAGAGTTTGTGAACCGTCTTACTTGCAACTTTGATCTGTTTTGTCATCAATATATCTTCCCCCCCGCGGGGGTTGCGTTCCTGGTTTAAACGAACGTGTCCTTCTTGCTAGGTCTTCGAATGCAACTTCAGCTGCTAAAGTTGGAATCCGAAGAATGTGTTGAGGGACCCATACTGATTTCAAGCGATGATGATCGTGGGGAAGCATGTCTTGGAATTTCAGAAGGGAATGGATTACGTGGAGATAGCTGGGAGTCTTCCTACATTATTGATGTCCTGTCTGAGTCTGGCATTGATGGGGCCTATCCCCTTTCTTATTCGGAAGGATGGTACTCTCCCGAGTGGCCTGTGAGTCCAACAGTGTTCGACGAACTTGAAAAGAGGTACTCTGATCGTAGTGCTTGTTCAAGGCCTGAAAGGAGGATGCTTTTTGACCGTGTGAATTCGGGCATCGTTAAGATCTACAAGCAATTTGAGAATGATCGGCCATGGTTAAATCCCAAGGTAACAAATATTGGTTCCAGACTGATGAAAAAGAGGCTCCAAGATGATCTGTGCACTTTGCTGAAGAGCCAAGAAAAAGTAAAGGATGACGCTCTGGGAAAGGTGCTTGTAATGGAGTCGGAGTGGTTGGACGTGAGAGATGACGTCGACACAATAGGGTGGGAAGTTGAGAGATTGCTATTAGATGATCTAGTGGCAGAAGTCGCTGGTTCATTAGACATTTTGACCCCAAAGTAGGGAGCCGCGTCTTATGTAAGATCAATTAGTGCAACCGTAATTTCATCGAAAGATGAATAAAAGGATCTCAATCTTTTTCATGAAACCGAATTTCGAATTTCTATGTGGGAAATATATATATATATGTGCCTTGGAAGCCGTGTCGCATCTTGGGAAATTTTGCATTTGTGGCTTCATCAACGATTGCTGGTATGCTAAAGATGCTGTTGGTGGCAATGCTTCGAAGAAGATGGAATAAAAAAATGTATGAGATCTTACATTACATTTGATTTTAATTTTTATGCGAAATGAAATGAGAATGAACGTTGTTCCTGAATTCAAATACGAAGCAGAAGAGATCTCTCTATGGAAGTGAACGCCCCTCCATGCATTTCTGAACTCATGCTAGTACAAGTCCATTGATCTCGTATCTCTGAAAGAAAGTTACACAAACATAAACATGTGATTGAGATATTCCTGAATTCAATTGTTATTAAAATGCAGTATTCTGCTCCACCGCCACGCCTCAACCGAGAAAGGAGAAATGAAGGAGAAAATGATGAATCAATTAAAGAGGGAAGGTCTTTTGGCAGTGTGGCAGAGTAAAGTGGAATTTGACGTTAAGTCGTGCGGGGGGCAGAGACGCAGTGATCATCAAAAATCAATGATCAAGGTTTTGGAGTGATTCTTCAAAGAGTTGGTGGGTCAGGTTCCTGGTAAAAGAGCTGGCCCAGCCAAAGGGCAGTTTGTGTTCTACCAAACACGGACGGACCTGGAGCTTGATAATAGGGAGGGCCAAACGGAAAATAAAATGAAGAATGGGGGATCAAAATATAATTTAAATTATTTTACAAATAAAAAATAATAATTTTTACCAAAGGGCCAGTGATGCATGGAGGACAAGAACCGCCATTCTGTCATTGGTACCAAACTAGCAATTTTAGGGCAATGGAAATATCTTTCTAGACTAATTAAAGTTTGCATGAATGGTAGATATTTTTTAATTATAACTTAAATATAGGGAACAATTTAGTTAAAAAAAGCTCTACCCATTACTTATCTTGGAGAGATGCTCTTGACTAACAACAAAGTCTATATAGCTATTTCTTCTACTTACCAAGCACCCAAAAAATAAATAGATAAAGATGTCTCCTCATCTTTCTAGACTCATTGTGCATTAGTAGTTCAAGTCTTAAACTTGTACAATCAAACTGCTTTCTAGATCAAAGATCATCACCGTAAAAAGTTCAAAATAAATTGTGAATGTGCTAGCTTGTAACTGGTTTTGATTCAATAGTATTTTACAATGTCGGTGAAGGCTAGTGCTTGGATTTCAAAATCATTGTCCACAAGAGGTTTTGCCAATATTTTGAAACCCAAACCAGATGTTGAACAAGAAGGCGGATGGGGTTGTGATTTTCATGGCTCAATTGGTTAGATAGGAAGTCAAACCAATGATATAAAAATTAAATAAAAATAAAATTTATATACACAAATATATAAATAAAACATTACTTTTATTGATAGTGCTTGGATCTCGATGTCAAAGGCTAAATATTTGGATCGTTGGAGTTGAAGGTAGATGCATGTCAGCACAAGCTTGTTATCTTGAAGCAAAATGCTAGAGTTAGAGGCATGCCATCATGTCACGACTCACGAGCTTTCAATCTCGATACCAAAGACTAGAGTGCTAGAGTTGGAGGCAGAGGTCAAAGATTGAGCTTGGGTCATGAAAGAGAGATCAATGATTAGAGAAGAGAAGACATAAAAGAGCTAGAGATTAGGAAGAGAAATCATGAATCTAGGCAACTTAGACTAAATTTCTTTTTTTATTTTTTGGCTTTGAACTAGGGTGACCCACTCTAGTTTTCAAATCAAATGCGATTCTCTTAAAATCAGTTGGGTCAACTTGATCTAAGTGCTAAATTGGTCTAATTGGTTGGACCAAGCCATTTTGATTAGCAGCTGGTGATTGGATCATTTATTAGGTCCAGTTTGGTTTTCAAAACACTAGCCCTCTCGATTTGGTTAAAAACCTAAGCTGAATTTGGATTTTTTTTAAAAAAATGAAAATTGTCCCTTTCTCTGGCCCTCTCAATATTGTGACGATGTTTCAAAGCTATCAGGCCCATAGCCCATCCCTCGTGGCTTTTTATCCAGGCCCGTTCATTACGGCCCTACTATCCCCGGGATATAACGACAGCTGGCAATACCTCACGCAAATCCGCTCAAATGGTTCTGGACTTTGGGCTTATAAATTCAGATAATCGCAATTCATCCCATTTCAAATATTAGGGTTCGGAGTTCGTATGTGCGAAGTGAGCCAGCGGCTTCTAGTTCTCGCTGCCACTTTCCAGAGAAGTGTATTATCTCCACTATTGTCTATTTAAGAGTTTCTCTTTCTCAAACTATTTTGCTCCTCTGCCCTTTTCTTTCTGTCCGGTTTGCCCTCACATTGTTTCGGCAATTTGTTGGAAACTTTATCTAACAAGTTGTCAGATTATTGTGTGATAAATTTATAATTTAGTTCGACTTTATTGGCTTCGCCTTCATATTTTTATAATTGTTCCCACCCTCAATGGCAAATGATGAAAAAATTCTTATCCTACACACTGAATTTACTTACTGTGTGGACCACTAACTCCGCTTATTATCTGATGCCAATATTTTATGAATTGCATGGTGATGATGAACTCAAAGTGTACCTTTTAAAGTTACCTTAATTTTGTTGCAAGTTGCAAGTGATTTGTTGGATCGTTCTGGAACAGCCAGTTTTACTTAAAAAGGGGTGTGTATTTTGTGGTGATGAGTTACTGAATACATTTGCAAATACGAGATATATCAATGAGTGAATATGCTCTCTCTGAGCAGGATGCATACCCAATTTTTTGATTTGTTTTTATAAGGCAAGTCTTTGTTCGGTAAGATGAAAAATGATTTTTGTATTTTATTTTTAGAAAAATGGAAAAAATTGAGAGTTATTGAATGATGATTGCAGACATCTACTAAATATTGGAACGTGTAAACAAACCACTATTGTCGCGGAAGAAATGCAGATGCTTGCTAGACATGAATCATGATCGTAGATATATAATAGGTATTGGAATGAAGAAATACAAACAAAATGGAAAATAGTGCAAGTTTCAACTTTATTATGAATAAAATCATTGCCTATGATATTGCTTTAGCATAATTAATGTGTATGGGGTCACCATTGTAGCAGAAGAAATGCTTCAGACTTTGTTGGACCTTAGGGCTCAGAACTTATGGTCCAATCTCAGAGAATTCTGGCCTCGACTAATTGTGATTTGTGAGCGATGCTAATCGCATTTCATTTTCATTTTTAAGTCATTGACATCTATATTGTGATTAATTGACACAAGAGGGGCGCGAAGCATAAATAAAGTTCAAGTTCTTTGATTCACTTTTCAATGTTTATATTGTATGGTATTGTATTGTATGTTTTCTATAGCTTAAAGATGGCCAGAAGACTATATAACCTAAATATGAAGTAAATAATTATAACTTACATATATAGTCATATGGAAGCCAGTGAAACTATTGTCTTGCTCTTGTCCTTTAATGTGTAACCTGTAGCACACTTAATTTACCATCTAATTGATATCACGGGCCACAATTTATTGAGTCACTATCATGTATCTGCTACAACCCGGCTTTCAAAACCCATTGAACTATTCGCTTGTCATTTGTCACGCCACACTTATGCTTTTTTATTTTTACGCCTTTGTTGGTGATGGATAGGTCTATCTTCATATCAAAGGTTTTTAAAGCCTTTAGATGGTTTGGAGGATTTTGGTGAAAAAGGTTGAAAAATCAAAGGGCTATATTAGAATTATATTCGTTTTGTTATTTTAAAAACTGAGGTTTTAAAAAACATGTTTTAAAAATAAAAAAAAATAAAAATAAGTATTTTTTTTTTTTCCTTATTATTTAGAATAATAATCCAGAATTCTTTTTTGTTTTCTATTTTCTAAAACAATATTTATTTTTTTATTTTTTAAAATATTTTTTGAAAACATGTTATCAAATAAGTTGTTTTATTTTTTTGTTTTAAAAGATAGAAAATTATTTTCAAAATATGCTGTGAAACAAGGCCAAAATTACTCTGGGCCAATTACAAAGCAAGTTAACAATCACAACTTTGAAAAGTGGATTTAGATGTTGATAATTTACTCATGAGACTGTTTGTGCAGGTAACATCAACAACTTGAAATTCATATTGGAATCTACCCTACTCATGAAAATAACAACCTATCACCCACCACTATGTGGTTTTCATTAAATAACATGTAAAGAAGAAGAACTTGTTTGATTACTTGTTCAAGAACCGAGAAGGTAACCTTTTGGCCAGCATCAGAATTTAGAAGGAGTCTTGATCTTCCAATTATATCACAGCATGTGATTTAAGGTACGGGAAAGACGTTAAAAACCTCAAAAAGAGAGAAAAATAAAAAATATTATTAAATTGTACCGTGTCGAGCAGCACAATAGCGTGGTAGGATTGCAGCAAAATGCCAAAACCTTAGGGATACAGACATACTATGTGATTATGAGATTGGGCCACAGCCTAGCTAATTTCAAATCCAATTTAATCGTACCAAATAAAGTCCAACCTCTTGCATGCTTTCAGAGAATTCAAGTAAACTTCCTAATGTTTGCATTACTGCTAATTGCATGAGTAACCCATTCACCTTCAAATTATGCATCTTTTTTCCTCGTCAACTAGATTAAATTTGTTGTCTTTGTTTCAGCGATGCTAGATCTAACTGCTGAGGCTGATGCTGGCCAAAATTATGCATTCTTTACCTTTGATACACTTGCTAACACGCTTAGTGGAGTCACATCTCCAATTATTGTCACCTTCTTTGCTGCCTAATCTATATTGAAGGAACTCACCCCTGCCCACATGATTCACAATATTAACCATGTACATCTTTCATTGGGGAAATTTACTGGAATGCAAAACTGACACAGATTTTGGTTTATTGAAAAAAAAGTAAGATCTTTGATGAATATTTCTTAAGCCCAACGCCTAATCAAGGTTTTGAAGAATTTAAAAGGTTGATAGGTATCATCCATTCTCGAGACATTCTTTCTCACTTTTCCTACACAGCCTTTGCAGTGTAAAGAAACTCTCAAAACCACAACTTGTAGGAAACATTCATTTAAGTCATAGCCAATAGAATTTGAGTCTACATACCTCATCCCTAAATATCGATATGGCTTCGGTTGGAGAATCTTAAACGAGTAACATAAAGTAGTGATAGAGACAAGAAACCTGGTCAGAAGAAGCAGAGGGTTTAGAAGCAGTAGTGTTGGTTTCATCTTGATGAACAATTTGAGCCTACTGTCATGCGTTGAAGGTAATGCTGAGACGGGGTCATAATCATTAACATCACTCAGCAAGTATCTAGATGAACCAGCAGGAGTGATTGAATCCGCAGGTGGTCTAACTCTAACCTAACTCTTTCTAAGAATACTGTTAACTGTATTAGAAGAGTAATTGATGATATTTAGATTTTCACTCAGCTTTCCTGCACTGCTTTTGTTCTTTTGATCATGACTCTTGGTTGAACTCCTCTTGTACAGGTCTTTTGGCTTTGAAGAAGAGCTCTTGTTAGTCTTCTAGTGATGATAAAGGTATAGTCTTAGGTTAGTCTGTGAGTGAAAGGGGGCGGAGGTGAGAGCTTTGGAGGGGAATCTAGAAAAATCTTTGATAATGGGGTTGTGACGATCAATGGCTTGACTACCCAGTTGAATGGAGTTGGAAGATGAGCAGGAGAAGGAGGAGGAGAAAGCTTGATCCATGCTCAGACATATGGCTGTTGACGCTTAGGAGCTACAGAGGATATCCATGCCTTTCATCTTTGGATAATGATAACAGAGAAGAGCTAGTGGTTTAGAGTTTCTGCATCAATCACACAGGCAGATGGATATATATATATATAGAGAGTCTGTAAATGAAATACTGAATGCTTATGAGTTTCAGTCAGTACCTTTAAGTGTTGGTAGTAGCTGGGCTGAGATATAGAGACAAAGGAAGGGGATTGAAATGGAAACTCACACCACTATACTGCCAGCCTTAGATGACTCACTCAATAGAAGAAAATCCAAGGTCTAAATTCCATACACTTTTTATCCAAAAATATCAAAATAAGTATTTTTTAAATAACTTTTGCTTGTCATTTGCCACAAAATTTATTTGTCTTTATATCGTTTAACTGGGGCCTATGATATATATTTATTTAAAGACATTTATTATACTTCAACACTAAATTGTTTATTTTGACGTTCATGTGATTTTATTTTAGTGAAAAGGCAAGGAACTTGGAATATGTCCAAGTTGATTGATCAATAACAACACAAGAAATTAGAATCATACACACCCATAATAAATCTTAAAGGAGTTAAGTTTCCATTAAAACCACCGCTGGCAAAAAAATCAATCAATAAACCAAAATAGGTTTGCATATTAAAGGAATGCTAATAATTTTCAGTTGTTTCATTCATCTTGACGTGCAACAAAATCAAATGTCGAAAAGAAACAGATGGATGCAAAATTTTTCAAGTTCGTAAGGAATAGGAGAACGTCTTATTTAAATTTGATGCTCCGGTGTGGTGTATCGTTTCCATGTCAAGACACAGTAAAAAAGGGTGACCTTAATGCGATGCAACTAACATTTCTATTGCTTTTAAGATTGAAAATGATGTATAACAAGTTCCCTGAATTTGTCTTAACTCTTCACTTGTCTTTACCATCTTAACAAAAATGGAACCATCATTATGACTAGATAAGACCCAGTTTACTTCACAAGGGTTTCATTATTTCATCCATTCTAGATGAGACTGTAAATGTTTAAAGATAAGACAACCTTTTTATTATTTATCTCACAATATAATATGATCGTATCTCATATATATTGAACATTTTGTGCAGAGCAGTTTGGATGGGCCTGAGGTAGCAGCCATATTAATGTCTATGCAAAGAGTTGGTCTTCTGAAGTACCAAAAATACAATAAAAATGGTGGCACGAATATCTAATGTACTGTGGAATCGAGTATAGGTGGCCTGCAGGTTTATTACGTACCTAGCACATGACAACAAGCTGTGTTGGCATTATATTTGAAATTTTGAACATTGAGGCCAGATGAAGCAGAGCAACGGATAAATTTTTACAACATCTTTATGTGCCAAGTTTGTTGAAATGACATCGATTCTATCATTTTATGAAGCATTGAACGGCAAGAATGGATGTGGAAGATGCTAATTGGCTACTCAAAAAGACAACATTTTTAATGGGGTTTAATGTTAATAGATGTTACTCATTAAGACATTTTTGAAAGATCATTAAAGGAAAAGTCAGTGCTATTTGCAATATACAAGGTGCTTGCAACAATGAGAGATGAACTCAAAAGGATGGGAAGTAGTCAACATTAAAATGTTCATAGATTAAAAGAAATAACAATTTCAGTAGTTGACACATGACAGCGTTAATCAAGTCAGACTCTGCAATAAACCAAGTGTACCTTTTTTTATCTTCTATTTATCAGAGCTATCATATGAACATGCTGCTCTATTTTATCTTAATATTTCTACCTTTGAATCTATTCATGAAAATAAATGATAGTTAGTTACTTGTTTTT